GATCATCCATTGAAAAGAGAAAAGTCCTTCTGTTAAGAGAAAAGTCACGCATGATGATAGTAAAGTATCATAAAAGTCCGCTAAATAAATGGAAAGGTCCGCTTAATGAAGCGAAAAGTGCGCTAAGAGGTAGGACATGGATAGATAATATTACTTTTCGTTAAACTTGATAATATTTTGTCCGAGTAATAAAGTCCCTTTATTCCCCAGCGGACTTTTGCTAAAGTGGACATTTTCTGGATCTTTGCCAGCCCTCATTTTGATAAAGAGTCAAGATGAATAGTATTGTCTGATGTAATGCATCGGATAAACCATTTATGTTCATCAATCCAAAATGAACTTCGAAATGAATTAACTAATTCATTCACTTGTTCTTGTATATCATGATTAACATCAAATCTATGTTTCATTTTGAGTTGAAATACTTTCAATTTTGGTAAATAGTTACAAATGATTTGTTCCCATTGATGACCATTGATTAATATAGACCCTAAAGTAATATCAAAACGACGTAGATTAGGTGTATTTTGTAAAAAGGAAATAATTCTCGATGTGTCAAGTGTAGAATAAATACTAATCTTCAAATCGATTAATGTTGGAAGAGAAGAAGATGGTATATAATTATCATTGGTATCAGAAGAAATTATTAATGAAAGACATTTAAGATGAGGTGTATATTTAAACAATTTGTTTATCTGATTCCATTTAAGTTGATTATTATACAGATTTAAATATTTGAGAGATGTTGAAATGTTTGATGATATAGATAAAAAATTCCATCTTTGTATAGAAATATCATCATTACAATGAGTAAGTTTAGGTAAATTCCATATCATATTGACAACTGATTGAAAATGTGATGGATTATAGTGATAAGCATAAGAACAAAAATAGAAATTTAAATAAATGAGATGATTAAGATGATGACATTCATCGACGATTTTCATTAATGTATTATATGAATGAAGATGAAATATTGAAAGTGATCGTAATTTAGTAAATTGACTAAATGATGGTATGTAAGATAGAAGTAAATTAATTTGTCCTGGAGTATTTTCACCATCACAAAGACTAAGACCAATAATTCGATCAACAATAAATGGTAGATGTTGTGAACATATTATATCAAAATTATATTTTGATATCCAATTAAATATGAAATGATAAGATCGATATTGTTTATAGAGAAGAAAATTGAAATGATAATTGAGACCATAAAATGCATTCAGAAGATCAACACCATTCAAATAATCAAATAGATCGAATAAAATTTCGTTCGGTAATAATTCGAACTTCATTTTGTTTTTCACTTTACTTACAGTTGTAAGTAATAAAGCAGAAAATAATGTTTCGTATATAATTAATGTAGACAATAGATGAAGCTTGATCGTTGTACAGCTCTTTCGTTTTATTCCGACAGCTCTAGGTTAATATAATCGACTATTGACATGACTAGCCTGAAATATTGTCAGTATTCGTCATGACTGATTGCTGTAAACACTATAATGCCTAGGCCAGTTTAAATATTGACCTCTCCCTGAACAGTCAGCAGAAAAAAGAAAGGGTGGGGTGTGGGTATGGGATATGGGTGCGGGTGTGAATGTTGGTGTGCCTCTTTTCTTAATCCACATCAACACCCACATCCATATTAGATTCTCAGTTGTTCTGATCTCATATAAAAGCGATTATATGTGAAAAGTGCAACAAGAAGTGCCGTTATTATAGATGACATGATTATTGACATCGTATTCAAAGAGCAGTAACATAAATTGAAATAATATTTTCATGACTGAAAGATTATTAATAGTCTCTAATTATTCTTAATTTTTTTTTTATCTATAGGGATCCTTTTTGAAAATACACTGTTGGATCAGATCTTAGAAAAAAGATTTACAAGATCTAAACTATAGAAAAAATTGATAGTTTTGAAAAATCCGACAATATATTGTTAATAAGTGTAAACAGCTACTTTCTAACATGGATTTTTAAAGAAAATTAGGTTAAATAAAAAAATTAATGTCTTAAATAAAAAGAAAAAAATTAATTTTAAAATGATTAGAATAAGCATTGTGATATGATTTTGCTTGTATCTTAAGTAGATTGATCTAGGAATCTCGAAGATAGTCAGGGTCCCGACGAGAGTAGGATCAATCTTTTATTTTTTACTGGGACTGGAATTCGAACTAATATTTTCAAGGTAGTCTCGGTCTTTTTTTTTGTATCAAGAATTAAACTATGCATTCTGCTATTCATTATCAATTTTATGATCAGAAACGAAAAGAAAGCAGTAATACTTTTTACAATTTCGATAAAATTTCCTCATTCATCCTGATTTTAATCTTAAAACTCGAAGGCTTTCGACAAGCTGTCCCCTTTTTTGACAATATAATTCACCATATATATATTTCATTCTATAATAGTTCAACTATTTCTATATGAACTGTCCCAATAGACAACATATAGATATGAGTCGCCGTTTGGGTGTGGGGTGTGGGGGTGGGTGCGGAGTGCAGCTGTGAGGGAATAGTAAATCACGCCTACTCACTCACCCACAAGCTATACCCACACCCACACCCACCCGTTTGAACTCGTATATTGAGTTCAAAGATAGATCTAATCATCATTGGAATATCTTGAAAGTTTTAACTGAAAAGAATGTTCCTTTGTTGAGATACTGAGTTTTATGACATGTCTGTAATAGGTGACTATTTATTTGAAATTCAATATCTTGACAAATGAACAATTTTTACGAGTGAAACTTTCAGGATACTCACCAAGTTATTAGATCTATCTATGAACTGAGAATTTCAGATTGATAATTTTAATATTTGATTTTTCAGTAAGTACCTGAAAATGAATGGAAAATTCAGTAAAATAGGCATGATTCGGATCCGTCTCATTATAGTCATTTCGTAATTCATTGTGAAAGTACTGAAATATTAGCAAATTTTTAAAAAATTCAATAGTAAAATTATTATTTCAATTACTTTTTGTTTTTTCTTATTTTATTCAAGCATTTCTTCTAATGAAAGTGATACATAGTTTGTTGTACCTCATCGCTGTTTCATTAACTGTCGATTCTCCTTCTTCAATACCATTATTATTTTCTTTTTTCTACTTTATTAATTTCATTGGATTTTTGATATTTTAAATAAAACTAAAAACTATAGAATTAATCAAATCACATATTCAGATGATTTTCATTGTTTAGGTAATGCATGATGATGTTCCTATAAAATTCAAATACGATAATCATTTCAAAAACAAATTTAGGAAACATATCTTTCTTTACTGGTGTTTCTATGTCGTTTTTTTAAACCATGAGACGGTGATCAAGTTGACCGAGTGAAAACGTTTTTAATTTTCTAAAGTTATCATTAGCTTCCTCATTGTCCTTTAATTCATGGACTTGACCATATAAAGTAGTATTTAATATTTTATTTGAAAGATTTTTTCTAGGATTTTGTTCAATACAACCATATGGTGAAAATGCTTGATCAATCCATGAGATATTTTTTAATAATCGCGTCAATTATAAGATTATCAAATATTGAAAAATGTAACACAAAAGTAAGAAATTTCAACCTTGTTGAATAAAAGTCAGAGTTATATAAATTTCAATGAGATCTGTTGTAATTTAACTGTAAGGGACACCTTCGACAGCATTTGTCTACCAATCGGTATGAACAAGCTCACAACATGAGTGAATGTTTTAGTCTCGATTACAATGTCATTTAGCTAAATAGAATCTTTGAATATGTAAGATTTATTAGAGGAGTAATTTATAGTTAAGGAAGTTATTTCGATTATAAGTTAAATAATACAAGTTAAGGAATACTATTGCAAAGATGTAGATAAAACGTAAATGATGTATAGTTAAAATTCAGTTTTACTTATTCAATTGAAAAGATACAACTCCTAAATTTAGCGTTGGACTGAGCAGAAAAAGTGATTTTATCATGAAAGTATATAGAGTCTATGTAGAGCTCATTGAATCCGACATTTTTGAACCCAAACCTTAAGTATTTTTTTCACTTGCACTATTGTGAGCTAGCTAATGTTCTTATTTTAAATTTATTTTAGAAGTTAAGAAGAACTTAAAACGATAGTCTTATAGCTCTAGTCATCAATGCTAATATTCAAGTTTCTATATGCTTTTTACATTAAAGTCAATTTTCTGCACTTATTTTTAACAGCACTGGAGATAGGAACTTACTATCTCCTGCAAATTCATTTGAAATTATATTCAGTCATTACATATTTTTTTATATGAAAAAGACTAGAAAAAAAAACTTCCACAACTCTATATTTAAAAGTCTATAGTATTGAATAAATTCTGAATTCACTCTTTTCTTTTTGATGACAATTAATAAAATTTTGATTTGTACAAAACAGTATCATATCAGTCGAAGGTTCGTATTGAGATTACACTAAACTACTGAATTTTAAATATGTCTATCATCAGAAGAAAGGAAGAATACCTCTGCCATTCAACTACCTTGTGATGGATTTATTAGTCCGATATCTTTCCTATCACTGTGAACAGTCGTAGCTCTGAAAAGAAGATCGGGATACTATGGAACGAATTATCTAAGACAAATAGCCGCTAATGACTTACGCAACATTATTCCATGAATAATGATAGTGAAATTTCTATACAATACCTTCTGGATACGTGTCGTACAATGCAGCCACTGAGTCATAGTGTTTGTTTATTTTCAAGAGACTCCAGAGTTTTGGAAAACTCGACTACTTTATGTACGAAGTTTCAAATCAAAATTCGAAAGGACGAGTTTTCCAAAAAACGTGTAGTCTCGACAAAAAAATACGTATCAAATACTCGATAGTTAGATCGAATTAATTAAACTAAAGATATTATTCAAATTAATTTTGAGCCTTTATCATTCCTTTTTTTTTTAAGAAAAAATAATTTGAAAATTTCTTAACACTTATTTTCGTCTATTCATAAGTCTTCAATAAC